AACTAATTATGAATTTACAGTAAGGAGAAACAAGTGATACTGCACGGGAAACATGGGGGCGACGTAACGACGATTTGCACACAACAAATGGAGAAGGTTTTGCATAAAGCATGCAGCGGCTTTTTGATACAACTTGAGCAGCAAACTAAGGGAGAGCCAACAGAATTTGAAGATCCAAATCTACTTCCTATGCTTGCTGAATTTTTAGATATATTTGACGAACCGCGCAACCTACCTCTTACCAGTCGGCATAATCATTGTATAACGATTCTTCCAAGCAAATCTCCAGCAAATATTTAGTTATATCAGTATCCACATCTCCAGAAGGATGAAATAGAAAGGATTGTAAAAGATATGCTTGAAATAGGAGTTATTCGGCCAAGTTGCAGCCCCTACTCTTCATCGATGCTCCTCGTACGAAAGAAGGATGGAACATGGCGATTGTGTGTTGATTATCGAGCTTTCAACGACATAACCATCAAGGAAAAATACCCTATTCCAATAGTAGATGAATTGCCAGATGAAAGGGAGCACAAATCTTCACAAAGCTGGACCTTTGATCCAGGTATCATCAAATACAAGTGTGCGAAGAAGACATACCGAAAACCACCTTTTGAACACACAACGACCACTACGAATTTTTGCTTTCTTCAACAGAAGATGGAATATCTTGGGCATATCATATCAGAGGAAGGTGTGGCAGTGGACCCCTCCAAAATTGGAGCAATGCAGAACTGGCCGACCTCGAGGAACATAAAATTGCTATGTGGCTTTCTCGGTTTAATAGGCTACTACTGCAAGTTCATAAAAAACGATGAAAAGATCAGTGCACCACTTACTTCCTTGTTGAAAAAAGATGCTTTCCAATGGTTGGACAAAGCCACCACCGCCTTCAACAAACTTAAAGCTGCAATGACGACAACGCCCATACTAGCGCTACTCGACTTCGGCAAGACTTTCATTATTGAAGTCGATGCCTCTAGAGTCGGAATTGGTATTGTACTAATGCAAGATGGCTGCCCCCTCGCTTATACCAGTAAGGCATTATCTCCTTCCCATCTCAAAATGACTATTTATGATAAGGAGATGCTCGCGATTGTGCATGCGGTGGCCAAATAGATATCGTATTTGATCGGACGATGCTTTCAAATCAAGACCGACCATAAAAGCCTAAAATATTTCTTGGAGTAGAAGATATCTTCCCCCGAGCAGCAAAAATGGGTAACAAAGCTTCTTGGATATGATTATGAAATAACTTACAAAAAGGGAAAGAGAATATTGTAGCAGATGCGCTTTCATGGCTACCCAAGCAAGCTGAATTTTCAGTCATTTCACTTTCGACTAGCAACATCCCTGAAGATATTAAGAGGGAATGACAGGAAGATCCGGAGACTCATTATAGTTGGGACTCAAAAGAATTACGCTATAAGAGACGCATTGTGCTTGTGCCAAAATCTACTTGCATCTTCACGAGTAGATTTTGGACAGAGTTATTCCAGATGCAGAGAACTAAATTGAAAAGGAGTACGGCGTATCACCCACTAACCGACGGCCAGATGGAAGTGGTGAATAGGTGCTTGGAGACAGCCCAAAGCCACCCACCAAATATGACTACCCAAGGAGAACGCTATACCTAGTCGAGTGTCATTATTAATTGACGGATCGTGACTCGACGACGACAACCCACTACTGAAGTGCTAATATAGTGGGCGAACTTACCAGCAGAAGGTGCCACTTGGGAGAACTATGACGACTTGAAGATCAAATTCCCAGAATTCATGGATTGTCAGCCTCGAGGACAAGGCTAATTTGAAGAGGGCGGGTCTGTTAGGACTCTAGCTAAAAGAGTCCTAATTGAGATGGGCATTCATGTAAAACCTACCTAAACCGACCCTTATTAAAGATGTGAAAAGGCCGACTAGGGTTTGAAAATTATTTCTTAGAGAAGAATTAGGAGTTGTAAAAGAATAGGAATCTTGAGTAAGAATCCTATTAGGAGTTGGTTAGAAGTAGGAGTCTTGAGTAAGAATCCTATTAGGAGTTAAGGTTTAGAAACCCTATAAATAGCCATGTATTAATCCTCTTTTGATAAACAATAGATGAATCTTTTCTGCAGCCTTTGAGCAACAATTTGGAGGAAGAAACCCCTATAGAGTTCTAAGGAGGCCGATCCCCTAAAGAGATCAACCCCAAGCTTAGAATCTGCAAGGGTTCTAACATCTCCCCCTTTAATGCATTTTTGAGTTATTATCAATGCTCGAAAGAGGGATGACTAGTCTCCAAAAGAAGCTCAGTTGAGCTTCTTAAGCTTCAAAGGCTCTAAGTGTAACTTCTACTTGTATTCTGAAGCCTCTTCTCTTTCTCTTCCCTACTCTCAGTAGTTATCTTCTCAAATATCCTCTCATCCATTGAAATTTCTTAAATTTGTCAAAAGAGAACCTTCCATTTGAAGTTCCAAAGTATATCTCTTCAAAATTAGGTAACTCTAAAGCTTAATTTTTGTTTATAATATTATAAGGTCCACATTGCTTCCTAATGGTACAAATAACTTTCGTAATTTGTACATATATATATTTTTTATCAAGCCTTAGAAAATGGTATATGATATACTTTCTTCCTTATCCTTTTCTAGGAAAATACAATATTTTGTGGATTTGAGTTCTCCAGTGATGCAATGAGTCTAATGCCACCAATTCATAAAGATTCATAATTTGAATTTATGTAGTTTTCTGGCTTTTAGATTATACACCTTGCAAGCCAATGGAAACACAAGTACCATTACAATTATTATTATTATCTAGCGATATATGTTGTGATATTTATGTTTTATAAATATAATATATATAATATACTCATGTTATTGGTTATTTGAAGTTGAAGTATGTAGAAAATTTTCCAAAATCCTCTTCAAAGTATATAGGAGTATCAATGCCTCCTTTTAAGTATATTTTTGCAGCGAAAAGAAGCAGTCATCTAGAAGAATGGGCAAAAAGGTGCTAGCAGACTTGTGTATAAGGTTAATTTATGGCAATGAGCATGCATACATTGATTAGAACAGATTTCACATTGCATTAGATCCTAAATGCTTCTCAAAGTTTAAATAAGTTTGATCAAGTGATTTTGAGGTTAACCATTATGTGTTGTGTCCGATAGCAAATTGATTTATTTATGCATGGATGAAGTATTATAGTATATTTGCTCAGCTATATTCTATTGTGTATCAGCTTACAAAACACATCAAATAAGAAAAGAAAGACGACCTGCATTTGTTAAATCAAACTTACCAAGTCTAGAACATACTTTCCTAGTACTCAATTATTTTGTCTATTCTGTCACCCAGACTATACTCAACAGTTATGCTTACAATTAATAAGATTAGGGTACCACATCGTTCCTTGTGCTTGCAAAAGGACTTTTAGAGAAACATATGTGAATTTCTCTTCTAAAGTAAAATAATTACAGAAACCTTTGATTTTAAGCATGCTCACATTAGATAATCATAATCTAGACAAAATTTATAAATATATGCAACAATTATTGCGAAAAAGGGCTAAATTTTAATGGACTTGATTCATGAAATATTCAGCATACCTAGTAATAGTAGCAACAGGAACATTTATAGGCTTATAGTATCCAACATACCTGAAGTCTCATAATTTGACTCCCCATATTGAAGAGAACTTAATGGAATTTTTGGTGCAGTTATGCTATAAAGATAAATTTTGAACGAAATTACTTGTAAGACATGGAAAGATAGTCTTTAAAGTGAATTTTCATTTAAATAGAATTGTTTATCATGCAACAGTATAACATTAAAATCTTCATGTTTATCACACATTTTGCTCAGAGCTCATTCACAAAATGCCACCACTATTATATTACAATTTATATCTGCTAATACATGATGAAACCCTTTATGGTAACAAGGTCAAAACCTATATTAGATATGTTTCTAGAATAAAAATTAGGAATCCTGATATTAGATCTACAAAATATAAATACAACTCATAAAAGATAATTATTGAATAACAAATAAGTAATTGCTCCAATCCTATTAACTTAGCCCAAACCTTTTTTTCCTTCGCAATTCAAAAAATAAAATGTGAATAATAATCATGATCACTTAAAATTATCATGATATAACCAATTTACCGTGTAAATAATAATTAAAAGTTTATCATTCGAAATCTAAATATTGTCTGAACTAAATAATGGTGAACAAGCAACTAAGTAGTGCACGTTCACAAACAAAGCACACATAGGTAATCAATGTGTGTTAGAAGAAATAATGGAGTATGAGTAGGCACTCAAGGAGAGAAAGCAGGCCAACCTGGGAATGTAAGCAGCCATGGTGATGTGTAACATTCAAGAAAACCATTGTATTTAAATTAGAAGTGAAAGGAGCAATGAGAGGAGACAAAGCTATAAAGGGTCATTGGATATAAGATGAGAAGGAAAAGCCATAACCAGAGAGACAGGAATTTAGAGAGAGGAAGTACTCAGCCAGCTGCATCGAGGAGATTGAAATTATTAACAGTTCCACAAAGTTATCCTAGTATTCGAGGAAGAAAGATCCAAAGTGATATTAACTCTGAGACAGCTGTGTCAACAATAGAACAAGACTGATAAATCAAAGCACTACATGGAGATTTTAAGAAACAAGGGGGAATGCATGCTTTAGAGCCAGCTAAACATTATTTCGCTGCTATTATCACTTTGTTAGGAGCTTCCTCAAATTTGAAATTTCATGTAACTTAAAGAACTTTAGAATGAGAACAAGAAGTTGTCCTGGTCATGGTCTATCAGACCTTAAAATTAAATGCTTTAGATGACTAGAAAGGATTATTAAGTCATTTTAGTTCAGAAACACATGCACAATATACATGGAAAGGACTCGGACACAACATATTACTATAAAATGACCCAATAATCCGAGCACTTCACAAACTAAGAACTCAACAGAAGGTACCAAACAATTGGTTGTAGGTAGTTGACTCTTATGTGGTGATTTCTAGTGGAATGCAGACAGATTATGAGTTCTTAGCTAATTATGAAATTATTATCAAGCTTCATGAGAGTAAAATAACAATGAGTCTGCAATTAAGGACGTTGTTGGAATCCATGTTCAGATATGAAGTGCCAGAGCACAAATGATGGGTCCTTGTCATCATTCTAGGAATGGAAGTTGTTCTGGACATTGCAAAGTTCATTCAACTGTGCCATGATTTCCAGTAAATCCTGGTTGCTTTCTACTAAAAATTTGAAGATCTCCTATGACACTACTATGTGTCATGGTCTTTCCCTTTGTTGCAATAGATGGTTGTGGCTAGTCAGTGTAGTGGCTTTAAAATCTTTAATGGAACAAATGACTAACATGTAGTTTGGTGATTCATCAAGTTTTTTAACATTTCTGTTTTATATAAAAACAGTGATCGGTTTTCAAGTGTTAACCACATTTGGACAAGTGCCAACCACATATTCTCCCTCTCACTCGTTCAAAAGATGGCTTCCATTGAGAGGATCTTCAATCTCTTGGAACAACTTAGCTTCGTCATTGAAGAGGTTTCCGAGAAGTAGCAGGCAACTTAGTTGAAGCAGGAAGAGCCAACAGAATCAAGATGACGATGAGGAAGGACAAATGTTGTTGCGTCAAATTTACCAAACGACCAAATCATCCAAACAAATCAACAAAATCACTAATATGATGATCGTGTTGTGCATTTCTCGAACTAGTACTTTTACATGAACATGTGTCCCAGGTTAACATAATTAGAATCTGATTATATTAATTGATTATGGTTTATGACTTATGCTCCATAGCATGGGCCAGCATATAGACATGGCCAAGTGGACAGCACCAAAGGAAGATGCTAAGAAATTGCAACCCATAAGAGGTAGACGATGATTAATGGAATATGAACACAAACTGAAAATGCTTACCCAGTTGTAGGGGTTACTATGATGTCAACCTTCTTGAAAGCTTCCATATAATAATACATTATCCTTCTCCTGCATCAGGCAACTATGTATATTAATGAATAATAACTTAACAAACCAACCATTATATAGCAAAACCTATATTCTTATCCAGTGAAGCTATTAAGTTTTGCTAATGTTATGAAAGTCAATATAGTTAAATAATTAATTATTTAGTTTCATATTGTGTATCAGAAATCATAAACCATAATTTGGTGTTACATAGTGATGCATAATTTGTAGTGTTGATGTGAGACATGTAATTGAGCATTTATAGTTATTATATATATAATTTTAATTTTAAGTAAGGTTCTTGATAGTTCACTTACCATATGCTTATACCCATTGTGGATTCCAAGGGGGGTAAACCTTCGGACCAACAAAGGAATAGTGTTCAAGTCTACCAAGGTAGAGGCAATGGGATAGTATATGTTGTACTCAATAGTAGCCTTAAGAGAATTAAAATTAATATTTCTACAAAAATGGATTAGTTTTCATAAATATTATATGAATAATGGTGACTAATATCATCCTGTGAGAAATGTATTGAACCCATAACTCGACATGTTGTCCTGGAGCACTTCAGTCAAGGTGTTCAACACATGTCCATGATGCTTTTCGGTTATTGTTGTTTTCCATTGTTTATTGGTGTTTTCGAGTGTTTTCTTGTAGGCAGATTGTACAGGGCAGAAAGTACTACTATCAGCCTCATTTTTCTTTATCGAAAGTCTTTTCATTTTCTATTTCTGCTATAAAACGTTTCTAGTTGTGTGGCATCATACAAAGGGGAAAATGGTCCAAAACTCAAAAACAGTTCTATTCTTGTATTCCACGGGTTGATTTCTGGTTGATAGTCTTACAACGTAAAACGTCAATTGTTGGTGGCACCAAACCAGATAGGACCTCGATTATATGTATGAGGAGTGATACATTTTTAATGTGCTCACTTTTTGATTTTATGGAAGTGCTAGGTGAACATTGGGGTTGCACCTACCTTCGGAATGCCCTTTGTATATGACCATTCAGCTTGTTTTCAAGAGTCTTTTGTTCCTAATAAAAATTGGTTGCTTTGCATTGCTTGTGATCTCAATTATCTTACATTTTCATGTGTGACAGTGGCATATTTCTCATGCATTTGCCTAAGTTAAATATGTATTACTTTTTAGGTGGCTTTACTCTATGTCATGCAATATAGAGATGATATGTCATGTGTTATTGAAGTAAATGCACTGGTAATTGGCATCATTCATGATTGATATGATAGCTTTCTATTGCACCAATATATGAGCAACATGTGGTATTTATGAATCATTTGTTTTGAGCATATCTCCACTATATTAATCTGATAATCTTTTTCCTTGATATTCTACTCTTGCATGATATAGACTATTTTATTTATTAAAATGTATTTGGCATATTGTTACGTACTTCCTTCGGACTCTATTTGTGCTAAAAAAAGAAAATCTACATATTTGTTTAAAGGTAGTGTGGTATCGAGAGTGAAAGCTAAGAGATTATCAATGTGAAGGTAGGTTTGAATATGGTTTGCAGTACCGATCCGTACCGCCCGGTACGGGCGGTACGTACCGGTCCGCCAGACTTTCGGTACGCGGACCATATGTTACCGTTCCGACACTGTAGCAGTACTGCTACAGTGCTCGGCACGTCTGAATATATCGCTCGGTACACCTGGGTGTACCGAGCGGTATACCGTACCGTACCGGTACCGAGCCCAGGTCGAAACTCCGGTACGGTACGGTATTGCGAACCTTGGGTTTGATAACTAATCATTGTTGTAAGAGATATATTATTTTTTTTGAAAATTGTATTAAAAAATAGTTACACAACTCTATGAAAAGGACTTTAGTTCATGCACAGTTTAATCTTCCCGAAATCCGAGTTGGAGGACCAATTATAATTCATCCACAATCTAAACCCAGGATCTAAGATATTATGTTTGAGGACAATAAAAACATTAAATTCTCATTTACATCTATAAAACCTATGAGGTACATAGCACGAGATATTTAGATAATAAATTAAACTTCAATTTACTTAAGAAAGATATTATTTGAAAGATATATAAGTCTACTTTCAGATGAAGTAAATTTTGTACAAATTAGAGTTGTCTATAGAGAGTTACAAACAGTTTAGTCTGGAGAGATCAGAAAATATTAACTTTGTTTTGTAGAATCCAAATAATCAAAAGAAACAAACATTTGGGCAGGCATTTGCATTCCAAATCATTCAAGTAAGATACTGAAGGAAAGATATAAGAGTCTAGTTTCCAAAGAATTAAGATTTACCCAAATCAAAATTCTATACAACATGTTATAGTTAAAACAAGACATATAGGTCAAGATTCTCAAAATTTTCAGATTAGCAAATTTATAGCTCAAATAAGATTGATGCCATTAGAAAGGATAAAACTCCATAAATTGCTCATAAACAAGAAGAAATCAAGAATAGAAATCTATGTAGGATAGGTTAGAACACTTGCCTAAGAAAAATTTTATCCCAAGAGTGATGAATTGATCCGAAACCTCAAGCCAAAGCAACACCTCTCCTCCTCTCAATGATCCAAAAAAGGATAAATTCACTATCTCATCCTAAAATCCTAGAATTACTATTGACTTATGACTCATTTGCATTCTATTCTTATTGAAATAGCATTAGATTAGTATAAAAACCACTTAAAATTATTTTTCACATATTTTTTGGTTTTTTTTCGAAAATCGATATGTACCAACATATCAACATATGGAACGTACCGGTCCAAGCCAGGATTGACATTATCGGTCCACATGAGACAACAACCCTTTAAGAGAGTTCCAAAACCATTATAGCAGAAAAATTGAGCAGCCATGAAAAATAAATTTCTTTTTCCTAGATAAAACAGCATCAATACTTTTTAAATTCTATAAAACACTAGAATTCCAATAACAATCAGTTTTTACCTTCCATGGCTGACAATTTATGAAGACAATATTTCAAAGAAGACCAAGAAAAATTGATAAAGAACAAAAGTTCCTGTTTAGTATCTATAAGGTGTAACAATTATAAAGAGTAGGGTTTACTATACCGAAGCGTACAACCTGGTACGAGTGGTTTATATCAGTCCGACAAGTGACCGGTCCGTGAATCGCCCTATACCAGGCAGTACAGTCACATGACCCCATATCGCTCAATATAGGGTCTGTATCAGTCAATAATGATCAAAATCTGATCGTTACCGACCAGTACAAGTTGGTAACGATCAGATTTCTCCTATTACCGACCAATGGCTGAGATTGCCCTATTTTAAATGGTCAAATTGACCGTTTGAATCTCTTTCAACTTACTTCACTCTCCCAATCTCTTCAACTCTCTCAAGCTCTTTCACACTCACATCTCTTTCTTATTCTCATATTTTTACTCTCACTTTCTAGAATTTTATTGATTTATGAGATGATTAAACCTATTCTTTGTGATTAATGACTTAATGTCTAATATGATGTTTGATATCTTTCTAGATCATGCTCGAAAGATAGATGGGAACCATCATCATTGGCAGTGCATTTATTGTTGACTATAACAAGGGTAGAGAAATCACCCAGGTGAAGATACATTTGGCAGACGGGTATCCTGATGTTATAAAATGCAAGAAAGTTCCAACGGAGGTCCGTAAATCCTTTCAAGACAAGTTATAATAGGCAAGGGAAGATACAATAAAAAAGAAGGCAAGAGTTGAGGAAGCTGATTTGTGACGAATATAAGGGTCGAGACAATGAAATCGATCGGATCTCAGAGTTGGTATTCATGCATCACTGGAGCATCGGTACATGTACGAGAAAGCAATGAGGCATCGATGACCTGACTCGCAATAGGATCGTGGTGGTGGCAGTGGGCCTGTGCCATAAGGAATCTAAAGGTCGACCAGCATGAGATAACCAATTGCCCCTCCTTAGTTAAGCTGAATTTGTAGCATGAGGCAAGATGGAATCCGTGGTTTTATAAGAGGACTTGACAGGAGATCAGCACTATATATTATTGATATTAATCCGCAAGCCTATTTTTCAGAAACAACGATACACAAATTGACGATGCATATACAAAAGAAAAGAAACAGGATATTAGGAAGGCAATTGCAAAATAGTTTAACTTCCATAAAATTCGAGCAAACACAGCTCATGGTCCATATTATCGGAGCATGATCTCCTCTATTTAAAAGTCTGGCACGGGGATCCAACCTCCAACATCCAAGGAGATCGACGACATATATTTAGATGAGGAGATGGCAAAATTGAATGATTGGATCAAATCCTTCAAGAGGCAATGAGATGAATATGAGGTGACACTGATATGTGATAGTTAGACAAGGCCAAGAAGAATGCGTATTATCAATTTTCTAGTTTATTGCAACAGACGAGTGAATTTTCATAAGTCAGTTAATGCTTTTGACAAAATTCAAGATGCAAACTATATTTAAAAATTAATGGACACTATAGTAGAGAAGATCGAACTATAATACATTGTCCAGATAGACACCGACATTGGAGCCAATTTCAAGAAGACCAGTTTACAATTGATGGAAAAAAAAAAATATTGTTTTGGACTCCCTGTTGAGCCCATTGTATGGATCTAATGCTGAAGGATATTGGTGAGCTACCATCAATCAACAAGTGGGTAGCTCAAGCATAGTCGATCATAAAGTTTATATATAATTATCATTGGATCTACTCATTAATTCAAAAGTATATAAATGGTTAGATACTCTGGCTTAGAATCACTCGGTTTAATATAAATTTCATTACCTTAAAGTCAATACAACAAAAGAGGTAGGGCCACACGGTAATGGCTTTATAGGAAAGGTTCGATTCTAGGTATTCGACGTCTCCCCGCATGGGGAGAAGAGAGACGATGTCACTGAAAAAGCAATAGAGGAAGAGGAAGTACATCCCTAGTAGGATCTTAGGTAGGAGATCCTAAATGTCCTTTAGGTTTTATCACAAAAGCAATAGAGGCAGAGGAAGTACATCCCTAGTAGGATGAAGATTCCCCTCAATCAAAACATGACGGAAGGAGTCGGACAATATTTAGTCAAACTACTCAACCAACTAGAGACACCCAATTGTCACAATTGTCCAACCAGCATGCAAAGGCAAAGGCAAAGGAAGGCAATAGCATCAACTACACCGTTGAAAAGAATCGAGTCGATAAACGAAAAACCTTCTTAATCACATTCAACAACCCACACAATCCAAAGACATAGTAACAACGTGGACAGCAGTACCTCGACAGATAATGGTGGCAATGTCGGGGAGTCGATTGTCCCGTCTACACAATTTGAGGGTGGTGTATAGATCGAGTAGTATTTTACACATGCCACCTAAGATTCGGATAATGGAATTCAACGAGATACTAATCAAGTTATATATAAAAGCAAAAAGGGAAGGGGAAGCAATGAATGATTTTGAACAAATGCAACAACCTACACAACGTAGACATAGAGCGAAACTCATCGCATTCACAATCGTCGTATTATGGAGAATCTTCTGTGGCCAACAGCAATACGGTGATAGTTAGTCATACTTCTCCGAGCAACAGTACAATGATCGATCTTATGATATGAAACAGCAGATCAATGATGAAAGTAGAAGTTCTTACATTATTCTCCATGCTCCGCACCAATATTTGTCACAATCGTACTTGCCTCAAGAGTCATCTTAGACATATGTGTGATCTACAACAATCAAACTACGACTATCACCACATTGATGCATTAATGACATACACTATATCAGTATACTATGTTTTGAGATCAATTTTAAAATTAGATCCAATAAACATAACAAATTGATATATAGATATATAAGATCGAGGACCTCGATCCATCACTCATGGAGTCCCGTCATTCTTTTTTTTGGTAGAACCAAATATATTCATCAATTAATTACTTAATTCATTTGAATCCTAAATTTTACGTTGTTTAAAAAAAACCTAACAATTCAAATCATTTCTTTGTAGATAATTTAATATTAACGAAAGAATAATCCGAAACGTACCACAAAGCTACTCCATAAAATCCAAAAAAGATGCGTAACTATTTTTTCTTAATTTAGATTATTTTTATTAAAATTATACTAAATTTATATTTATTTTCAACATTAGAACCCTAGTCTACCTTTTTTTATTTTTTAGATATTTTTAGAGCCATTTTTGGTGATTTTTAGCATACCGTCGATACACCCCGATATACCGACATATAATATGTTAGTATTCCTCAATACATACCATACTGATACATGGTTGATACATCGGTATGGACCGATTTGGCAATCCTTGATAAAGAGTAGCAAAAAATATCAAAGAAATTATCTCATTTGAGATGAGATAAGAAATTAACAAATCATAAATACATACAACTCTGAATTTTAAGTTCAAGATACATTTGTGCAAGATATTGTAACACAATGATAAAAGAAGTATCCATTAACAATATGCATATGACAAATATTAGTAGAAGGATGTCTGGAATATCAACCTACAAATCCTAGATGCACAAATAACAAGAGAGTGTTGTATATGCTCACCTAAGGCGTTGAGCAGCAACATAGTCAGCCGCAGAGAATGACCGGAAAAGAGCCAAACTAGTTCGAGTATCAAGTGTTAACTCGGAATATTTCCTAAAAATATACTATTCTCAGTGCATTATACTTCTGAAAGAAAAGCAGCTAAAGAATTAATTAATTAGCAATGCTAAAAATTGTAATCAATCAAGATAAGACAACCCTTGCATCTATAGTAATTCATCAAGTGATTCTAAAGCATGTAAAAAGGCAAAAAGACCATAATTTTCATCTTCCATCAATCCCAATCTACATTCGAGACTGATCCCTCCCAAATGTAGGAACTGCAATTTTTAGAGAACATCAATTTGCCAGCAGAAATGAAAGGAATAAGTCAAAATTGGATGAAAATATTGGAATTGTCTGGACTCAACCAGTATCTCCAATTCCAAAATGAATCAGCCAATTTCAGTGAATTTTGATTATTTCAGCAATTTTTGAATTCCATGTGAATTTGAATGGTTGTGGACATTCTCATTGGTGGATAGATGTATACTATAGAATCAAGGTTTCTTGATCATAGATGGGGCTAGCAAGATTTGCTTAAGGTACCTACCGTCTACGGGTACTACGGGTACAGGTACTATGGTAGAATTGGCATCTCAAGAATACCCTAAAATTAGTTAGAGCTCAGCCCAAGGAGCTCCACCTCCCTTTTATTTCATTGATGCTATAGAGGATTGGTTCAAGAAACCTTTGGTTATGGTGGACCTGAAGGAACTGGAGGATATTTTTAGATAGTTAATTAGGCTGGTCAAGTTTCACTCTTCTAACTCAGGGACCTCATGTTTCAAGGCATGTTTTCCCACTCTGCTTTTTTCGAATGAGGTCAATCAATCTCACTTTTCTCTCTAAGTAAACCTTTGTAAATGAAATGAACAAAATTTTATATTGTTCAAAGTATTGCAAATTTGCAAGTAGCTTTTTCAGCCTGAACCCATTCATTAATATTATGTATTCCTCTAGACCAACCTGTCACGAACGGTCGTCACGCACCCGCAACAACGAACCGTTCTGTCACGAACGGTCATCGCGCACTCGCAACAACGAACCGTTCTGTCACGAACGGTCATCGCGCACTCGCAACAACTCCGTTCAACGAACCGTTCGTCGCTCACACCTACATGTACAGCTGCTTGACAACATGTTTTGTCTTAGTTTTGGGTCATTTGCTTGTAAAAATGTCAGGTCGAACAAGCTACAGCGTTACAAAGCGACCGCTCACCGAACCGAGCAAAACAGCCCCAAAACAGCCCAAAACAACTCCGTTTTCGTGTGCCACGGGCTGATTTCTGGAATTTGCCTCCGCTCACCAAAACGTCAGCCATCTCAGCCCCTTGGAACCTCCTGGGTGGCACAGGACTGGATGGGGCTTCGGTATAGTACCGGGCGTTGAACACTCCTTCGCAAGTTCGCACATTGCCTTGACGGGAACTTGTTGTCGCGCCCGGGACTCGGTGAGCAGTTGTTTGTGGGCTTGCAACTGTTCGTTCAACCTTCTAAAGCCCTTGTTTTCCCCCTCTCCCTCTTTTCTCTTGTGCACGCAAGGTGCTCGCTGAATTGCTTGTAAAGCTTCCCTTCTTTTCGCGAGACGTCGGGACTTATCCGCCACTCGTTCTTTCGAACTAATCAACTTTCTCTTTTACAGGTCCTTCGGGACCTGCGAGAGGTTGCAAGTGGGCTGATCTTTGCGGAGCAATATCGCAAGGGCGAAGCGCGACTTAGGCAACGCAAGCTAAGTTCGCGTCTTTGCCGCAAGAGTGCCTCGCGACTTAGGCAACGCAAGCTAAGTTTGCGTCTTGGCCACAAAGGTGCCTCACGCCTTAGGCAATTTCAGCTAAGGCCGTGGCAGTTCATCGCTTTTGCATGCTTGTACCGAGACATGGCAACATGTTTTGCCTTAGTTTTTGTGTGTTTTGCTTGTAAAAATGCATGTTTGAACAGGTTGCAACGCTGCAATGCGACCGCTCGCCGCGCCGAGCCGAACTGCCCAAAACAGCTCTGTTTTCGTGTGCCACGGCTTGTTTTCTGCAAGCCGCAGCTGCACACGAAACGTCAGCCATCTCAGCACCCTAGAACCCCCCGGGTGGCACAGGGTTGGATGGGGCTTCGGTATATTGTTGGGCGTTGAAAAATCTTCACAAGTTCGCACGTTAACTTGACAGGAACTTGCCTTCGCGCCCGGCACCCGGTAAGCGGACTTGCAACTATTCGTTCTACCTTCTATAATCCTTGTTTTCCTCCTTCCCCTCTTTTCTCTTATCTCGTTGAATTGCTTGTAAAGCTTCCCTTTCCGCGAGACGTTGGGACTTGTCCACCACTCGTTTTCGAACTAATCAACTTTCTTTTTTATAGGTCCTTCGGGACCTGAGTGAGGTTGCAAATTGACTGACCTTTGCGGACGCATATCGCAAGGGCGCGTCATGACTTAGGCAATCCCAACTAAGTTCGAGAAGTTGGCGCAAGGACGCTTTGCAACTTAAGCAACTCAAGCTAAGTTCGCGTCTTGGCCGCAAGGGTGCCTCACGACTTAGGCAATTCCAACTAAGTCCGTGACAAACCGACCATATAGATTCATGATAAATTCAATTGGAGGGATAATGTCAAGTCGACTAACAAATAACTGTCACTAGTATTTAACAATTATCAAGCTAGTAATGAGACATGCCCTGACAATTTTGCTAGTTTTGCATCATTTGCTTAGAATTTGAGATGATCATGCACCGATCTGGCATTGATTTTTTTATTTGCCTCGGTCAATCATGGGCAAGGTTCGTTGTACTGTAGTGTACCACTCAGCATGGATGATATATACCGGTTTGTCAGTATGCCCCACTATACCGTGTGTCGATATGTTGGTACGGTTCGGTACGTACCATTCCAACAGTCGGTCGGTACATCGATACAGAGCAGTAAAGCGAACCATGATTATGGTTTACTCGTTGTTCCTCTTCATCTTTGTAAGGCTGATAATACAATGACTCATTTGAAATTTTCAGCCTCAGTAGGCAGATTGTACATCGATATAGAGCAGTAAAGCGAACCATGATTATGGTTTACCCGTTGTTCCTCTTCATCTTTTTAAGGCTGATGATACAATCACTCATTTGAAATTTTCAGCCTCAGTAGGCAGACTACCTGTGAGCTTCCCTCTTTTCTTAGTTCCTACTACTACTACTACTACTACCTTTACAATTTCAACTTTCACCTTGATCTCCTAAAACATTTAGAGCCTCCCATCTCAGACTCTTTCCAACTCAGGCCATAAAAAGAAGATTATGTCTGGTATTGAATATTTTCCCTCCTCTGTACTCTCCCTCCTCTTCTTCACCTTCCTATCTTCTTAATTTTGCTCATCCCTACTCGAGAATCTTGGGCCCATCAATATTGATGAGGTAAAAAATATGGTTCCATAGGCCAATGAAGCATAGGGTTATATTCATTTGAATGCGACAACATCATATAGAGCTTAGGGACTTCATCATCGAATTCTTCATAGAAGAACTCCAAGGAAGTGGTTACAAGATGAGAGATTGAACTCCTAGAGAAATCTTCAATTCATTCCACACCACTTGTCATTATTGTAGATATAAACAATGGGAGTGAACAACTCATTAAAAGAAATACATCCTCCTAGTCCCTCCACCTAAGGCATGTATATATCATAGCACCACCCTATGCATGTTTACATACAACGATACCTTTTGAGAGAGTGGAGGTTCATGCCAAACCAATTGGTGTTGATTCCTAGCACTAACTGATCAACTTTGTAGGATAGACATCTTCGGAAGAGAGCTCCAGCAATGAAGTTGTTTTATTCCTTCTTCCAGATCTATGGTAGTTTTGTGTCAAGTCTCTAGAGTTAAGTGACTCTCCCTTCTACCATGTGTTGGAATGAGTAATTTGTTTATGTTGGACATGGCCAGGATTTTACCTTCTGCCCAAGCAAGAAAACGCCAGAATTATCTAATGTCAAACACTTTTTGACAGACTTCAAGCAAGAGAACTATAGAGATAGGTTGCTATCCAACAATTTGTTTCATTTCAAACCAAGATACATTAACAAGGACAGGCTTCAGCCGCACCACTCCTGGTGGTAAGTCGTTCTGTCCTCTTTGAGCTTTCATGTTGCATCTTTCCAAGTTGTTGTTCGGTGTGTATTCTCTTTTAATTGTCATGGATCTCATTCGATGTAGGACCTAAAAGTGCCAAATGTATCAGACAAAGCCCGAACCATTAGGAAGACCACCGCCCAGTAATTAAAGCACTTTCTAAACCCTCAGCTTGTGTATGGTGATTGTCAACCCAAAAGAAGCACCGAGCTAAGAAAATGAGCATAAGAGGAAAGGAAACCCCAACTTCAGGCCTCCAGGAATTTTTAGCTAAAAGATAAGCATTCAACTCTAAGATAAAGTTTTCTACTTGGAGAATTAGCTTCAGAAATAAAAGAAATAAATGCTTGTGTTATGGGCCCACGTCTAGGTAGAGATAGATGTGCAATAGTCCAAGCTCAGAGAGGCTGTTAAAGTGTAAATGACTACATCCCTCTGTAAAGGAGACGGAAATTGTCTCGATCATAACATCAAAAGGAAAAATGGCCTAAGAAGTTTGAGCAGGCTTATCACTCGTCAAATGTGCTCTGAGAATAGAGGCAAAAATGGAAGTTACGACCCACTCCAAGGCCATCTTGAAGTATGTCACTGAGGTTTGAGCAAGTTAGAGAATGGAGGAAAATATAGCAAGTTCAATGTCAACTTACCATTTTTTTTAGTCAATCAAAATTTGATATCTAAATGTATTATTTAGCACAGTTGTCCCTGTAGATGATCCAACTAATATATCCAGTAGTTTATTTTCATCCTGCTCAAGGATAAGCTCAAACATGATGCTGGCACAACTCTTCTGCCAACAACTGATTCCTATGCTAGCCAACATTTGTTACTTAAGGCATCAATCGAGGGTTCATAAGCCGAAGCATCCCCTTCATGAGATGAGTAACATTTTGTGATTTGAACTCTATTCTTTCTGTAACTAATGACTCAAAGTCAGCGTAAGTCAATAGGAGTATTTGTGAACATGCCGACTCCAAACCCTCCCCTTATACTTTCACACTTTTATGAATCAAAAGCACCTTGTTTTAAAACCATCATCTCTTTTAGGTGAAAAACTTCTTGTTGACACATTCAAACTTCCATATGTGGCTTTTTATTTGACTACCCTAAACCAGGTTCGAGAAATCAAGCATGATGGGACATGCTGTAGCAAATTTAATTACTAAAACAGGTTTAGACCTAAGCAGGCCCAACTTGAGCCTAGCCTTGGGCCAGCTTAGGCGAGCATCTAGAATGCTTGATGCCTAAGTTGAGGCACTCACCTAAGAGGCACCTCACTCGAAGACATTTGAGGTGCTCCAAACTTGCCTTTGCCTTAACCAAACCATAGGCAAGCGTCCAACCACTGTTTAACAAAACTAGTTTGGACATCATTTCCCTTAAAGTTTATGATTGATATGTTACCAGCAAAATGAGCCTCGAGATCCAAAATGGGCCTTCTAAATTTGAAAGATTCCTTTGGTGTGGCTTTAGTAGCTTTTGTAGTTTGTAGTATTAAGTTGCTATTGCTTAGAGCTTGAGGTAGACAACCAAGAATTGCTGTACCACCCGAAACGGTACGGTTTTGGTGATGCATACCAGTCCGGGCGTTGGCCAATACGCAGACCACCCCGTCTAGGGTGGTCTGCATTAAAATAATAAAAAAATCAAAAAGTGGTGGGCCCTAGTCCATTTCAGCCTTTAAACAAAACATATTAGGGCTCTTATCATGCACGAAGCCATGGCACTGTCTCTTCGCCGCTGCAATGTTGCAGCAACATTGCCTCTTCGTCACTTCACCGCTGCAGTGATGCTACCTCTTAGCTGATTCACCACTGCGATGCTGCCTCTTCATCGCTTCGTAGCTGCGATGCTGCAGCGGCACTACGTCTTCGCCACTTTGCCGCTGCAATGCTGCAGTGGCATTGCCACTTCGCCATTGTGATGCTACTGCTTCCCTTCGACCTGCCACTGTTGTCATTGCTTCCCGGGTATCGCTGCACTTCTCCTCCTTTTCTTTCTTATTCTTTTTCCTTCTTTCTCCTTCCTCCTCTGTTCCTCCAGTAGACCTTCCTCTTCAACCTCTTTTTCTTCCTCGTCGACACATTAGTATGCACCAGCGTACCATGTGTCGGTACATCGATATAGAGCGGCACAGCGATCGACCGGCACACAAGCTTGGACCGGTAAGTCAAACCTTGGACACAACTAATTATAATATTGACGTATCTTGTTGATGGCTCATACCTCGTTAGTAGACTTAAGACCTCAATTCATCGATTCCTCATCTAAGCCTTCTGGTAAGGTACAAGTTGATCATCATCAACCGTATCATGCTTTCCTGCTTCCACTTACAAGTCCTCAACTTTAATCCATCCACTTTCTTTTAGCTCGCCACTAAGTTCAATTGGGGACGTTAGCAAGGTTGATCATCTTCATACTTGCATTCAAGCCCCTTAGAGCTATCACCTGGCAAGAGCTTGCGTGTTACTAGTTGGACCTTTGCTAGTGTTGTGTCGTTGAGCATGATGAGTTTATGGTCTTGTTCGGTGAAGTTTGTCCCTCACATTTGAATACATCATCATCTCCTCCTAGTAGGTCTATGTTATCCTCTGCTTTTGAGATGAGAAGATAGTGTACAGACATATTACCTTTGGCATAGTCAATCACCGAAAGGTGATTAAATAGTTATTGCAAGGCCACTTCCAACTTTGATTCTTTAGACTTTACTTGGCACTGAAGTCCACTCTATCGGTCTTACTTCTTGAGAACATCGAGAAACTCAGGAGTGCAGATAAGTTCTAGAACAATCTATCACACAACAACTTGTATGAGAGGTCCTAGAAATTCTTTGATTCTGAGTGATGCCCAATATAGATGGCCGACAGGATCTTCAACTTCATCGAGTTCAAACTATCATTCCACATTGCATCCACAAAGAAAGGGTTGATGTTGGCATATTCTTCAAGAAGGTTCATCTTGATAGACTCCCACTCTGCATTAAGGCTTTCCAACTCTAGTTATATCAGTGTAAGATGAGTAAGGTCTTCCTGTCTAAATTATTCTTCCACTTGCTTTCTCGAGAGTATATGTGTTCTTCAAAAGTGGCACCATGCATGGAGAGTCACCTCCGATCAGCAAAAGAAAATTCAAGAATGTCATGGTTATTGCTTAAGTCTCTTAAGAAACTCTAGTCCGAGAATGACATAGAGATCATGCAATGGAAGTTTCATGAAGTTGGTACTCCCACTCAATCTCTCATCTTGATATTGACTCCCTTTGCCACTCCAAAAATAGGATTGGCAAAGGGAGTAATGTCCTTTTGACTCTCATCTTGATATCCCTTCACCAAGCCAAAGATATCAACTCATCTTTATCTGCTTTCAAATTAACTGCCTTCATGTGGCTCAAACACTTCATTAATTTCAGTTTGAGTCTTTTGCCTCTCTATTTGCTATGGACTTGTTTATAGCTTGTGTGTCCAATGTGCAAGTTGTCTCATTTAATTTAATGTCCACAAACATCAATAGGTTGTAGTGTCCCTTTGTCTCGTTCAGTTTAATGCTCCCCAACTTGTGGATTCAACAAATGCATCATCCCCAGGAGAGGTCCTCTCAACAATCTTTCAATGCTACTCGATTTTGGTGCGCTCAAGCTTAGAGAGTCAGCCTTCTCTTTTGGCTCCTTCTTAGTTTCTCTCGGACTTTAGCTAGCAATGCGGTCAACAAATGTATAGCTCCCATATAAGGTCTAGGTGATGTCTTAGTCATTACTCAATCACGAACCTTCTTGAGTTGGATGATTTTCCCTTAGCCTTACCCTTTTCCTCTATAAAAGAAGTCATAAGTGCATTGAGAGCCCACTTCCTCTATTAACACTCCATCATCGAATGACATCGACCCGACAAAAGGAATATCTTAGATTTTAGGTCGTTCCTTTTACATAAATGTTCCATTAAAGTCCTTTGATCTTTGAGTCCTTTCATTCGAAAGCATTCAGAGAGCACTTCTCCAATGAGTATTTTTTCTCTATAGTTGCTATAGAGAAATTCACAAGTCATTATGCTTTCATGATTGCACTTGCTAGCTCATAGACATTAGCCTAGGCTTTGAACTATTCAGTAAGTTGAAAAGTTTTTCTTTCTCAAACACATTATGTATATCCAGCATTAGTGCAAAATACTACTTCCGTACTCCCGAATTATCATGGTTAGATGAAATGCCTCAACATATACCACGCAATGAATTTAGTGTTCTCTAGCATAAACTAAGTTCATAATTCACATTTAAGTCTTCCTAAGTCACAATATAGCGACTATTGTGTTGCAATCCTCTCAACAAATGTGCCACCAAAAGTTTTACATCACCATTTAGATACATTATCACTAATGACACCTTGGAATCCTCTTATTCGAGTTGGGACCGCTCTAATGTACTAGTCTATATCCAAGAGAAATTCTCAATATGCTTGGCATCCTGTGGAACTATGCAGTTCCACGATTCAAGAGCCCTCACTCTTTGTAAGTGAATGAGTACTGAAACTTTAGCCCTTAATCAATTACAATGCACACAAATCCTTGATATTCATTTATAGCCATGAGGATAAAGGAAAAGAAAAAACAGTAGATGATTACAAGAAGACAAGATAGAGCATATAAGACATTAACCTGATAGGATTCTTAGTATTCACAATCTCCCCACTAATATGGATATCATGGCCAACAATTGCATGGTGATGGTCATTTTTCCTAAACCTATTCACACTCAATCTTTCCCTCAATTTAAGAGGTTGAATAGATAGCTCATAGAAGAGCAAATTAATATAGTGGAAACTGATATCATTGTGGTTTACACATAAATCAAAAAACTGCAATTATTCACTGATTGCTTAAGTTATTTCTAAAACACAACTTTGTAAATTTCAGTCCAAGGTTCTAAAATAATTACTAGTTTACTACATTCTTACTAGAAATATTAGGACAAGAACTTTCCTCTATGGATTTTGCAAGTTTCTCCTGATGTGTTCAGCAGGAACGGATACATCCGAATCAACAGTGTCATTTCATGCCATAAAATACCATATGGCAAATCAACTTAATAATTTAACTAAAATTTAGTATGACATCAATGTAAGCAAAAGCAGAAAGCTCAATAGAAGTGGCAAGGTGAAGCATTAAAACCTTTGATTTTCAAAAGGGTGTTCCTAGTCATAGATCTAGAAGACAAAATTGCCTATGTAACCAAGTCAAAGAAATGACTAGTGATAGCAGCTATAAACCCAAAAGGAAGCTAAATTCACAAGGGTGAAAATTCCAACCTTTCCCCACGATAAGCATTTAATCCACAGAGTGATTCTGAACCAATGGAAACTACATGGGCAGTCCGCATTTCTTCTATCTCTGGTAATGTAATCTCTATTATCTTGAGACAAAAGAGAAACTTTAATTACAACGAAGGCATATATAGATACATATTTAAATGCATGTTACATCAACCATGAAGCATCGACTTTATTCCACCTTTATAAATAAGGTTTCTAATTATGAATTTTCTTTAAAAAATAATTTTTGAAGCAATTATATGAAATTATAAGCTTACCTGACACCCAAAGTTTGCTGAAAGAAGATTAACAGCATCCTCACATTTATTTGAGATATCATTGTTTGATACATCATTAAACCACTGCATATGGAAATGAATATACACGTAGCATTCTTATGAAAAAGATATATCAAAATGTAAAAAGCCATTCTACCTTACCTCAGTGTATTTTCCCAGTCTCACTGATTGTAAGATGTTCAAATTATTACTTGAAGATAGATTTGGACAACAGAGGGGTGACTGCACATAAAACAAATATGTTTAGATTTCCAATTAAATGCAGCATCCTACACATATATCAGGAATAATTTCTGTTATATCACCTATGATTCATGTAAACCAACACTATAGGAAATAAAGATAGGAAACCAAAACAAGAACAAGTTATGTTATTTCCCTGGCAGAATTATAAGAGTGAAATTATTAGAATTATCTACTTCGATGCTCATTAAATCAAATCGAATACTGCTTAGAATTTTCTAAGGAGACATTAATTAAAATGGAAGTTCAACAAAAAGAAGCATAACTAAGGTTTAAAATAGCCCCGTATTGATCTGTCATTGACAAAGCTGTAAATAGGGTGTTCAATGTAATGCTTGTATATGTTCGTATCTTTCGGTTTTGTTCATGCTTTTCATAACATGTAGAGGGCTTACAGTAGGCTTGACAACCCTATTTTGGTTAGCTTTTGTGGTTGTTTCAGGTTTGTAAACGTAGATTGTGTATAATCGTCACACAAAGGCAAAACTGTGCAGAAACAAGAAATCCAAGCAGCCATTTTGAAGGTTTTTTAGCTCCTAGAGTGGTGCGGAGTGTCAACCAGTACAGCACCCAGGAGCTATCTGGGTGGCACATGGTTGGATGGGCCTTTAGGGTAGTGTCTAGAGCTGGTTTGCTATCTTATTCCACAACAGTGACATGTGGGCACTTGTGGAGACTTTTGGGCATGGTGGACCACCTTAGACCCATTATCACGTGACCATTCAGAGCTTGCGAAGTCTATGTTTGTAATTTGCATTGCCTATCAAGTGTTTACTAAAATAACTACTTGTGGAACCCAAGTTAAATGTTTTCTTTAACCCGTCTTCTCTTTTATAGGTTCTTAAGAGATCATAAGAGATTTTAAGGAGGCAAACCCTTTGCAAACGGACACGCAAGGGTGCCACACGACTTAGCCAAAACCAACCAAGTCTGTGACAAATGGTATTAGAGAAGGACAAGCACACCTAGAAACACTTAGCATGCAAGCATGAGGGACCTAATGGCGCTGCGTTGAGGGCAACCAGCACGCATGACCATTTGGAGAAATGGACATTGAGATGTAGAGAAAGGAGTTACTTAGAGGAGCAGGCATCCGAGATTGGCATTCAAAGGAATGGTCAACACTTCGTGCGAGAAGCACCACGAAGATAAGTGAGTTGGGAAGAACATGTAGCGCACAAAAGTTGGGATGGCTGAGTTAGAGCTACATCTCGATGTTGGTAACCAAACTTGACGGTGCTCAAGGCAAGTGGGGTACTTGGCAAAGGATGAGACCGTGCAAAATGGGATGGGTTGCGTAGCAACCGAAAGAGTTATGCAAAGCTTACAAAAGTGAGAAGAATTGCTAACTTGAAGAATTTGGTACTCATGCAAGGAGTTGTATATGGATGATGGATTGTCCGCGGCTATCCCAAGGCTATCGAAACTCGACAACATGGAGCATTGAAACTTTCTCTTCAACATGAGAAGGATACATCCGTAGAAGGCTAAAGTGTACAACAAATTCAGCATATTGCTAGGCCTTAAGTGGCACAGCGAGGGCTGTATTGAAAACAATCGCAATCTAGCAAGTGCATTTGTAGGGGCGACACAGTGCATAGTTTGTTTAACAAGGCGGAGTAGTCTAAAGGGATAATGGTATCCGAAACTTTAAAAGGAAAAGATGTAAAGAGAAAAGTTACTTCAACAACACAGATATCCAGGAGGAATAAGTCCCGGTTCTCTAGAGAGAGAATCATGTGCAACAGATCACACATGTTAAGGAGAGGTACCTCAAGACAACAACTTCAAAAAGCTCAACGGACCCAACGAGCGACGAGGAGTCACCCCATGATCTCGCATGAAGTAATGCATTGGTGAACGCATTATGAGATCAAGTGGGAGAGTTATCCAAGACAATACCAAATGAAGACACACTCAGAGTCGATGTGGAGATCAAACTCAACGACGGGTTTGTTGAATCTCGTATTTTTATGATGAAACCAATTGATAATTATGTTTATGTTTAACTGCATTTTGAGTGATGCAGGTCTACTCGATCAGGATTAGACAGTTAACGCAGGAGGAATTGACGTTACGCCGGAGGAGATCACATCAAGATATTGGACGGCAGAAGGCTTCGGACGTCTGGCATCGGGCCAAGGAGAGCGAAATTACGCCAAGGATATCGGGGTTGCGGAGGTCAACCGCCGATTGGGCAACAAGCTGCAAGAGAGGACGATGCACCGAAGAATCGGACGAAGCGCCAACCAATGACGTGCCGGGCAACAGAATGTCAATTCGCGTTGTAATAATTGTCTAGATCGGAGTAGAGTTTTAACTTGTGTGTGCAGGATTAACTACGATAACAACGAAGACATAAAGCAAAACAAAGTGTCGGAGTCAAGCACGAAGGATTCATTGCGAGTTCAAGAGTTCGACAGAAGTCCGAAGGTTCGTCAGGAATGCTGCCGGAACTAGCCGAGAATGAGTAGGGAGCTTGCCGAAGGGTTTTTCGGAAGCTCGCAGGAAGGTTCGTTGGAAGTTCGCGGAGCTCGCCGAGAAAGATCGGAGCTTACCGAAGAAGCTCGTTGGAACTCGTCAAGATCAAATCGTGAAGTCTAGGAGCTTGCCGGGAGTCCGCAGAATGGTTTCCGAGAGTTTATCGGAAAACCATCGGAAGTTCGCCGGAAGCTCGCCGGAAAAAGTCTTGACTTACGGACTTTGTAATAGCTTAGAAAATGTCTTTAAATTCGTAGTTAGCATGTTAATTAGGGTTAGGATTAGGTGTTAATCTTATAACCCAAGTAGGGGCCAATTGGGCCCGAGTTCGGACTGGTTTGGGCCAAGTTTGGAGCCCAACCAGTGAGCTGAATTGGCCTAGGCGGTGGCACCGCCCAGCACCCGAGAGCTGGGCGGTGGCACCGCTTGACTGGGCAGTGGCACCGCCCAGCACTGTCAATGTCTGACAGTGACAGGCGGTGGCACCGCCAGCATCGGGAACATAAGAGAATTCAAATTTTTGGAGCCCAAATTTGAATCCTCTTGAGGCCTATAAATACCCCTCAGGTCTCAACTGAGAACACAACTTTTTGAGCAGCAATTGTTTGAGAGAAAGGTCTTAGAAAAGTCTTTGCTAGTCTTGTTTTCAATTTGCTAGTGTTCACCTCTTTCTTTCTTGCTAAAAATCTGTAAGAGAGTGAACCGCTTGTAAAAGGTTGTAAGAGGGGTATTTGCCCTTCCATTTCAAGAGATTTGCTAGTGGAAGGTGGGAGCCTCATCGAAGGGGGGCCTTGCAAGTGGATGTAGGTCATTTGACCGAACCACTGTAAAATCGGCATGATTTCTGGTTTGCATTTACTTATTATCAATTACATTACTGCAAACCATTTGCACTTTAATGCTCTACTTCTTTGTCTCCGTCTTACTTATCTCTTCAAGTTAAAACGCAATCGAAACGGTTTCAAATGAAAACGTTACTTTTATCGTACGAAGTTTTCGAAAGTGTTTAAAT